ATCATGGTGAAACCCTGTCTCTACTACAAATACAAAAGCTGAGGCAGGAGAATTGCTTGAACTCAGGAGGCGGAGGTTGCGGTGAGCCGAGATCGCGCCATTGCACTCCAGCCTGGGTAACAAGAGCAAAACTCCGTCTCAAAAAAAATAATAAATAATAAATAAAATAAAATAAAATAAAATAAAATAAAATAAAATGGAGGACAAAGAGTAAGAGAACTGAACATACCGACATACTGACTTTTTGAAGAGAAACTTGGGGCTCGCTATATGTAACAGCAAAGATGGTGTGGTGGGTTATGCCTGTAATCCCAGCACTTTGGGAGGCCGAGGCGGGTGGATCACGAGGTTGAGAGATCGAGACCATCCTGGTCAACACGGTGAAACCCTGTCTCTACTAAACATACAAAAAATTAGCTGGGCATGGTGGCTCGTGCCTATAATCCCAGCTACTCAGGAGGCTGAGGCAGGAGAATTGCCTGAGCCCAGGAGGTGGAGGTTGCGGTGAGCCGAGATCGCGCCATTGCACTCCAGCCTGGGTAACAAGAGCGAAACTCCGTCTCAAAAAAAATAAAATAAAATAACTGTTCTCTTGGTCAGGCACATGAACCTTGCATGGTACTCACGAGAGTCCCCAGGCAGCAGCCCTGAAATCATGGTCTAGGGAGGCTTTGACGGCAGCAAAGGCTGGCTGATGGGGCAGAATGAGTCACCTGCAGCATTCAGACCACCTGTTGGGATTCACGTGGTGGCTGGCTGTATTCTGTGTGTGTGAGTGTGTTCACTCATCTGGTCTTAAGTCAGGGTCTGCAGGACAGACCCCCACAGGTGCTGCTCACCACCTAAGGCAGAAAGCAAGCAGAGGGGCAGAGGCGATGCAGGCAGAGCCCCTCTCAAGCAACTCACATTGCCCCAGTCCTTGCTAGGGTATCCACTGTAAATGCCATAGATTCATTTCACCTTATGCCCGAAGAGGGTCCCATCAGCTGGTACCCGCCCCCGCCCCCCAGGGCCTCACAGCATCACGTGATGCATGAGTTGCCTTACTGCTTCCGTAACAAGTCACCACAAACTTACTGGCTGAAAACACCATAAATTTATTATCTTACAGTTTTGGAGGTCAGAAGTCTGAGTTTCACCAGACTAAAGTCAAGGTGTCTGCAGGCTGAATTTCTTTCCAGAGGCTCTAAAGAATCCATTTCGTACTCATCCCGGTTGGCAGAAGGTAAGACCAACGTTCCCATGTTCTTGCCGGCTGTAAACGGAGGGCTGTTCCCAGCTTCCAGACGTCTCCGAAGTCCTTGGCTCACGGCCCACTGCCTCCGTCCTCAAAGCCAGCAACGGGAGGCCAAATGCTTCACAGGTCAGGGCTTGTGACGACATTGGGCCCACCTGGATCTCCAAGGACAGTCTGTGATTTCAAGGTCCTGAACCTTATTCCCATCTACAAAGCTCCCCACTATGTAAGATGACACATTCACCAGTCCAAGGAATAGGTCATGGGCATTTTTGGGGGGCTGTTATTCTGCCTGCCACAGTATCTTCATTTTACAAAACTGAGGTTCAGAGACCAGATGACTTGCCCAAGGTTGTACAGTTCAGCAGCCAGGCCAGGCTTCAAGCCCAAGCCTCCCCACTCCCAGACCACCGTTCCTGACCTCCCAGCACCTGCCAGGACTGTAGCCGCTCCAGCCAGTGTGCACACCAGGCACAGATCCCCACACACGTGGACACAGAAAATGTTTGGGGTACAAGGACCCTTGCTTTCTCTACAGGGAATTGCTGCAGGGCCCTGACTTGGTTGGGGGTAAGGGCAGACCGGTGAAAGCTGACCAGATTTCAGACCTAATGGCCAGCAAGGAGACCAAGGAGTTTAGGGTTCAAACATGACAGGTCACTCGAACTCTACACTCTCCTGCCCACCCTTATGCATATCACCCCATCCATCCCCACAAATGCTGCAGGACGTGGCAGGCTGTGGGAGGAAGAGGCTGCAGAAACAGTGGGGCTTGCTTGGGGCTTCTTCAGACCAGGGTCCTGATGACTCGCCTGTGGCCCCTGGTGTTGCACAGGGTGGAGCAGTGGCTCAATACATCAAACTCTGGGCTGGGGCAGTCCCCCTGGGAAGGGGACCATCACCCATCATTTAATTCCAGAGGCACAAAAATGGAGGACACCCACGCAAACGCTCAGCAGGGCAGTGGAGTTACCATAAAAACTCAAGACAACCAGCTGGGCACAGTGGCTCACGCCTGTAATCCCAGCACTTTGGGAGGCCCAGGCAGGAGGCTCGCCTGAGGTCAGGAGCTGGAGGCCAGCCGGGCCAACATGGTGAAACCCCATCTCTACTAAAAACATAAAAATTAGCCAGGCATGGTGGTGGGCGCCTATGGTCCCAGCTACTTGGGAGGCTAAGGCGGGAGAATCGCTTGAATCTGGGAGGCAGAGGCTGTAGTGAGCTGAGATTGCAGCACTGCACTCCAGCCAGGGCAACAGAGCAAAACTCTGTCTCAAAAAAAGAGAAGAAGGCCGGGCGCAGTGGCTCAAGCTTGTAATCCCAGCACTTTGGGAGGCTGAGGCGGGTGGATCACGAGGTCAAGAGATCGAGACCATCCTGGTCAACATGGTGAAACCCCGTCTCTACTAAAAATACTAAAAATTAGCTGGGCATGGTGGCGTGTGCCTGTAATCCCAGCTACTCAGGAGACTGAGGCAGGAGAATTGCCTGAACCCAGGAGGCGGAGGTTGCGGGGAGCTGAGATCGCGCCATTGCACTCCAGCCTGGGCAACAAGGGCGAAACTCCGTCTCAAAAAAAAGAGAAGAAACTCAAGACAATGCTCCTTTTCCAGTGCCATGTACTTGCTGTGTGCAGAGCCATGGCTATGAGACCAGCGCCTCATCTGCTCCCACAGCCGGAGGAAAGCAGCCCTGGGCCAACCAAGGGCTAGGCCACTCAGGGCCCCTACTCAGGAAGTGCAGGCTCGGTGAGAATGGCCTCGCCTCCCACACTGCAGCTCCAAGCTGTGCTTAGTCCCAGCTGGGCCGGGAGACTGTCCTGACAGGCAGGGGGCGCTCAGGTCCCACCTCCACCCAGGGACTAATGTAAGCAGAAAAGCCTCCCAGAACCAGGCACAGAACAAGGGCTGGTCCTGCTGTGTAGGAGATGGCATTGAGGCCCCTCCATCCAGAAAGAGAGCTTGTGAGGTGCCTGTATGTGGCAGGTGGATTATCCTACCCCATCCGGGCTCCAGATCCAACGCAGGCTCACCCCTCCTCAGCCAATGCTCCCACCGGACACAGCTGCAGCATTCTGAGCCCCACTGCAGGCAACAGGCTCAGGCAGCTTCTCCCTGGCCCTGCAACCAGGCCCCATCCCCTCAGCCTCAGACACAAAGTCCAGCTTGTGTAGAAGGAAAGGAGCTACCCAGGAGGCAGAGGACAGCTTCCTACTGCTCAGAGAAACAGCTATGGCAGGAACTGAACCCACTACAGTATCTGGGCCTTGGGCCCTGGGCCCCACAGGCTTCCCTAGACATCACACAGAAAGGCCAAACAAGACCACACTAAGGCAGGAGAGTCTGGTCCCATCTCAGCTCTGTCAACATCAATCAGGAAACAGCCTGAGGAAGAGGAGCTGGGAAAACGTGTGTTCTGATACCCACGGCCTGAGGCCAACCATAGCCCTCAGCTCTCACCTGACATCTTTGCCCACTGTTCTAGGCACAGGCATCCTGGCAGCCTCAGCTCCACAAGGGGACACTGAACCTGTGTCTGTTCAGAAATCAATCAAGTCACCCCAGCAAAGATGCAAAGGAGAGGTAAAGCCATGTTTTCCTCGAGGGTGCGACTCAGCAGGTCTGAGTGTTCTTTCCAGACACCGGTGATCAGGACTCCAGCTCAGCACAGTGTTTCAAAACATCGTCCCTGCTGAGGTACTTCCTGCCCCTCACACACCAGGAGAATGGGTCACTGAGGAAGGACTCCTAGGGACAGAGGAATGGCAGATTCCACAAGTCAAACAGAGGAAAAAAGGCAGCTGGCCGATAGAACAAAGGCCAGTTAGTCCATAGCCATGTATGGAGAGTGCTGGAAGGAAAGGGGCCCTAGAGTTGACATTTAAAAAGCAAGCAGCGGCCGGGCGCGGTGGCTCACCCCTATAATCCCAGCACTTTGGCAGGCCAAGGCAGGTGGATCATAAGGTCAGGAGATCAAGACCATCCTGGTTAACACAGTGAAACCCCATCTCTACTAAAACACAAAAACTCATCTGGGTATGGTGGCACATGCCTGTAGTCCCAGCTACTCAGGAGGCTGGGGCAGTAGAATCACTTGAACCGGGAGGCGGAGGTCGCAGTGAGCTGAGATCCAGCCACAGTACTCCAGCCTGGCATCAGAGTGAGACTCCAACTCAAAAAGAAAAAAAAAAATTAGCTGGTGTGGTGTCATGAGCCTATAGGCCTAACTATGCAGGAGGCTGAGGCAGGAGAATTGCTTGAAGCCGGGAGGCAGAGGTTGCAGTGAGCCAAGATGACACCACTGCACTCAGCCTGGGCAACAGAGCAAGACTCAGTCTCAAAAAAAAAAAAAAAAAAAAAAAAGGCAAAATTCTGCAAAGTCCCTACCCCCAATTAGGAAGGGCACTAGCACCTAAGAAATGGAGTCCACCAAAAAGGAAGACCAGGGAAGGCTGGAAGGCTGGCCCCTTAAGAGGAAAGGCTGAAGATCCCGCCCTGATGGGAGATACACACACACACACCCACATTGGGCTTTTGCACAAACAAGGGAGCTGGAGGGGATGACCCACAAAAGCTGCCCAGTGACAACAGGCTTTTTCTTCCCAGGAAGCCAGGCACCATTTAAAGGCGCGGAAGCACACGAGGAGTCCGGCTGAGGCACACACAACACAGGGCAGCCAGCTGGCTGCTCTTCCCCACACCCCAACCAGTGCCAGTGGAGGCATGAGCCCAGGCAGGAGGAAAGGCACCATGAATTTCTGAAGTAAGGTTTAAATAGATTTTATTGTTACAACAGGGACCCCACCAAGCAGGGTCAGTATTTGTGGTCCCAGGAGGTCACCATGGGGACATCGAGAGGTCATGATTGCATAAGAGGTGACTGGAATTGAACAACATGATCCAGGGGAAGCCGGCCAGGAATGCAGGAACGTGACCAGGATGGGCTGGTGGGGCTGGTCAGGTCACGGTGTGAGGGCCAGAACGGCCCCCTTCACCCCCGCTTCTTGTAGCTATCCAGGTGTGACAGGATCCAGCCTGCAGGCAGGAGAAAGGTCACCAGGCAGGAGGTAAACCCAATGGCCAATTCCTACACAGAGCACAAGAAAGAAGGCGCTTCAGAGTCAGGATTCTCCTCAGCTCTCTTAAGTCCTAGCAGTTCCCAGGCAGCAGAAAGCCCCCCTCGGGGAGCCAGGACTCAGAGGCAAATGGGACCCAGCATCCTCACATTAAAGGAATCCACGATCCAGGGAACAGACAGAGCAGATCCAAGGCCCCGCTAACCCTTGAGCCCTTGAGATAAAGGATCAGTTAAAAGGAGGGGGAGGCCAGGCGCAGTGGCTCAAGCCTGTAATCCCAGCACTTTGGGAGGCCGAGGCGGGTGGATCACGAGGTCGAGAGATCGAGACCATCCTGGTCAACATGGTGAAACCCCGTCTCTACTAAAAACACAAAACATTAGCTGGGCATGGTGGCACATGCCTGTAATCCCAGCTACTCAGGAGGCTGAGGCAGGAGAATTGCCTGAACCCAGGAGGCGGAAGTTGCGGTGAGCCAAGATCGCGCCATTGCACTCCAGCCTGGGTAACGAGCAAAACTCTGTCTCAAAATAAATAAATAAATAAATAATAAAAGGAGGGGGAGAATTGAGTGGAACGAGAGACAGCCAGGGTTAGAGTCCAGGGAGAAATCCGCCACCAGATCATAAAGGAAAGGACGGGAAGCAGGATTTACTGAAAACCTGCTTTGTAGCAGGATTTATATACAGGATTTATTGAAAGATCTGTTTTTATAAATGGAATTGGGCAGAAGAAAAAAGAAAAAATATATATACAAAACAAAAAAGAAATCTGTTTTAAAGCTGGTCTGGGCAAGGCATAGTGGCTCATGCCTGTAATCCAAGCATTTTGGGAGGCCGAGGCAGGTGGATCACAAGGTTAGGAGTTAGAGACCAGCCTGGCCAACATGGTGAAACCCCGTCTTTATAAAAAAATTTAAAAAATTTTTTAGCCGGGCACGGTGGCTCAAGCCTGTAATCCCAGCACTTTGGGAGGCTGAGGCGGGTGGATCACGAGGTCGAGAGATCGAGACCATCCTGGTCAAACCCCATCTCTACTAAAAAAAAAAAAAATACAAAAAACCAGCTGGGCGTGGTGGCGCGTGCCTGTAATCCCAGCTACTTAGGAGGCTGAGGCAGGAGAATTGCCTGAACCCGGGAGGCGGAGGTTGCGGTGAGCCGAGATTGCGCCATTGCACTCCAGCCTGGGTAACAAGAGCGGAACTCTGTCTCAAAAAAAAAAAAAAAAAAAAATTAAAAAAAAAAAAAACCTCCCTTCCCATCTCCTCTCCAAGACTGTTACTCAACCTTGGAGGCTAGGGGTAAAAGACCGTTTCAGCCTCTGCCATAGTCTCAAAAGTAGTTAGGTCCACAGAACAACTTGGAGTCAGCATTCTGTTCAAATTCCATCTTTGGGGCAGGGTGGCTCACATCTGTAATCCCAGCACTTTAGGAGGTTGAGGCAGGAGATCACTTGAGCTCAAGAGTTCAAGACCAGCCTGGGCCACGTAGTGAGACCCTGTCTCAAAAAAACTAGCCTGGGGCCGGGCGCGGTGGCTCAAGCCTGTAATCCCAGCACTTTGGGAGGCCAAGGCAGGTGGATCACGAGGTCAAGAGATCGAGACCATCCTGGTCAACATGGTGAAACCCCGTCTCTACTAAAAATACAAAAAATCAGCTGGGCATGGTGGCGCGTGCCTGTAATCCCAGCTACTCAGGAGGCTGAGGCAGGAGAATTGCCTGAACCCAGGAGGCGGAGGTTGCGGTGAGCCAAGATCACGCCATTGCACTCCAGCCTGAGTAACGAGTGACACTGTCTCCCCCCCAAAAAAAAAAAAAAAAAAAACTAGCCTGGTGTGGTGGCACATCCCTGTACTACCAGCTGCTTGGAGGCTGAGGTGGGAGGATTGCTTGAGCACAGGAAGTCAAGGCTGCAGTGAGCTGTGATCCTACCCACAGTACTCCAGCTTGGGTGATAAAATCCTTCTTTGTCACTGAAGGTGTGACTTTTTTTTTTTTTTTTTTTTGAGACAGAGTCTCTATTGCCCAGGCTGGAATGCAGTGGTGCAATCTCAGCTCACTGCAACCTCCACCTTATGGGTTCAAGCAATTCTCCTGCCTCAGCCTCCCAAGTAGCTGGGACTATAGTCACACACCACCACGCACAGCTAGTTTTAGGTTTATTTAGTAGAGACGGGGTTTCACCATATTGGCCAGGCTGGTCTCAAACTCTTGACGTCATGATCTACCCACCTCAGCCTCCCAAAGTGCTGGGATTTCAGGTGTGAGCCACCACGCCTGACTGAAGGTGACTTCTGACAAGTCAACACACTGCTCCTATGTTTCGGCACCTTCAAACACAAAATGTGGCTGAGCACAGTGGCTCATGCCTATAATCCCAGCACTTCGGGAAACTGAGGGTAGATCACAAGGTCAAGAGATCGAGACCATCCTGGTCAACATGGTGAAACCCCGACTCTACTTAAAATACAAAAATTAGCTAAGCATGGTGACGCGTGCCTGTAGTCCCAGCTACTCGGGAGGCTGAGGCAGGAGAATTGCTTGAACCCAGGAGGCGGAGGTTGCAGTGAGCCGAAATTGCACCATTGCTCTCCAGCCTGGGTAATAAGAGCAAAACTCCGTCTCAAAAAAAAAAAAAAAAAAAAAAAAAAAAAAAACACAAAATGCAAAGAAATCATGCTTTCTTCTCAGCGTCACTGGAAGGACTGAATCAGACCAACACAGCATCTGGCACACAGCAAGCACCTGGCATCGCCTACCATATGGGTACAGTTTCTATCAGAGGAGATGTGGCGTGTTCTGGGTGCTATGGCCATACACTCCTTATCATCACTGATGCTTCCTTAGCTGCAGTGCTCTCCTGGCTCTGCTCCTCACACTCAAGGCCCACTAACCTGGACTCTGAGGGCTGGCATTGAATGCCCGGCTCCACTGCCTGAGACAAAGGCACAGAAGCTGAAACAGGTGGAAGACGCCCTAAAGAGCTAAACGCCCCCACATTTCTGGGAATTCGAAGGCCTGCTGGGGTCTTCTTTCTCCCTGTCTCTAATAATAACAAATAGCAGGGTTGGGCGCGGTGGCTCACACTTGTAATCCCAGCACTTTGGGAGTTCGAGACGGGAGAATCACTTGGAAGTCATGAGTTCGAGACCCGCCTGGCCGACGTGGTGAAACGCCGTCTCTACTAAAAATAAAAAATTAATTGGCCGCGGTGGCACGGGCCTGTAGTCCCAGCTACTCGGGAGGCTGAGGCAGAACGGCTTGAACGGGAGGCGGAGGTTGCAGTGAGCCGAGACGGCGCCACTGCTCTCCAGCCAAGAAGCAGAGCAAGACTCAGTCTCAAAAAACGTAAATTAAATGACAGTAACAATCATTATCGTCGCTGACGGTCGTCAGGCATCCCCAGTGAACCGATGAGAAAATGGGCTCAGAGAAGCCTAAAGAAGTCTGCTCGAGGCGGCGCAGCGAGGAAGCGACAGGGGAGGGAGGACCTGACAGGGCCTGACTCGAGATGGTGAGGTCTGGGGAAAGACCTAACGCCGACAGCCCCTATTGTCACCCGGGCACTGTCCCCGTCGTCCGCGCCCTTCAGACACGCCCAAACCGGCAATGCTGCTCCCCGTTACGCGGCGGGCCGCGGGGTGCGGGGCACTCTCAGGGCCGCCTGAGCTCAGCGAGGCAGAAGGGGCCAGCCCACGGCGCCTCCCATGCTCTTCCCGGCCCGTTCCTCACCAGGACCCCAAGCTTCTGCTCCGGCGGCATCGAATGGACCTGGGCGCGCGGCACCGGAAGCCGCCGGGCCGAGCCTGTCAGGCCCCGCAGCAGCAGCGGTGTCAGGACGGACATGATGGTACGGAGTACACCGCAGACAGCCACCAGCCGGAGCCCAAGGTCAGGAAGCCAAAATGGCGGCGCCAGCCGGAAGTTCCGGAGCTGGGGAGGCCGGGAAACAACGGCCCGGAAGTCTCTGCAATAACGCAGGAACACATCTCCCACCACCCTTGGTAGTTTTTAGAGCGTTGCCTGAAACAGCCAATTGACACCTTCCTCCCGCTATGGGCGGAGCACAAAGGGGCGTTTCTTTTGGTTATGTTCCGCCTCCAAAGCCTATATTTGTGAATGACATCTGGAGCCACCCAATGATGGACGCGAGAAGCCTAAGCTGTTCTTGACTCCTCCCTCCATTCATACTCTTAGATCACTATTCAGGCCGGACACTGTGGCTCATCCCTGTAATCTCAGCACTTTGGGAGGCCGAGGCAGGTGGCTGACCTGAGGTCGAGATTTCGAGACCAGCCTGGCCAACGTGATGAAACCCACATCTCTACTAAAAATACAAAAATTAGCTGGGTGTGGTGGCGGGCGCCTGTAATTCCAGGTACTCAGGAGGCTGAAGCCGGAGAATTGCTTGAACCCAGGAGGTGGAGGTTGCAGTGAACTGAGATTGCACCATTACACTCCAGCCTGGGTGACAGAGCAAGACTCCGTCTCAAAAAAAAAAAAAAAAAAAAGTTCAAGACCAGCCTGGCCAACATGGTGAAACCCATCTCTACTAAGAATGCAAAAATTAGCCAGGCATGGTGGCAGGCACCTGTAATCTCAGCTATTCAGGAGGCTGAGCTAGGAGAACTGCTTGAACCTGGGAGGCAGAGGTTGCAGTAAACCAAGATTGTGCCACTGCACTCTGGCCTGGGCAACAAAGCCAGACGCCCTCTGGGGAAAAAAAAAAAAATAATTATTATCCAGGCATGGTGGTGGGCGCCTGTAATCCCAGCTACTCGGGAGGCTGAGGCAAGAGAATCACTTGAACCCAGGTGGCATAGGTTGCAGTGAACCAAGACTGTGCCACTGCACTCCAGCCTGGGTGACAGAGTGAGACTCCATCTCAAATTAAAAAAACAAAAAACAAAAAATCTCTCTATTCAGAGTTCCTCTCTGTCAGGCCTCCTTCATTTCTGGACAGAATTCCTGACAATGACATAGTAACCCAACTCCCCTCAATTACCATTACACTCTTCAATTCCAGTTACCATGCTGGAGCAGCCAACTTCCCTTCCTTCCTACCCTATCTCTATCTCTCCCTCCCCAACCCTTCTTTCTTTGTTTTTTGTTTATTTGTTTTTTGTTTTTTTTGAGGCGGAGTTTCACTCTTGTTACCCAGGCTAGAGTGCAATGGCACAATCTCGGCTCACCGCAACTTCCACCTCCTGGGTTCAGGCAATTCTCCTGCCTCAGCCTCCTGAGTAGCTGGGATTACAGGCACGCGCCACCATGCCCAGCTGATTTTTTGTATTTTTAGTAGAGACGGGGTTTCACCATGTTGACCAGGATGGTCTCGCTCTCTTGACCTCGTGATCCAACCACCTCGGCCTCCCAAAGTGCTGGGATTACAGGCGTGAGCCACCGCGCCCGGCCTTTCTTTGTTTTTTAAACCTAAATCTGACCAAGTCATATACTTTCAGTGGCTCCCCATTGCTTCCTAGGCAAAATCCCAATTCCTGGATGTCACTGTCCAGCCTCAACTCTCAAAACTCTGCAATATTCCACACCTTCGACCCTGCTCTCTGATTTCCACCACCAAGTGTTTTGCTTCTGCATTTTGTTGTTGTTGTTGTTGAGAAAATGTCTAGCTCTATTGCCCAGGCTGGACAATGTGGTGTGATCTCAGCTGACGGCACTCTTGCAACCTCCACCTCCCAGGCTCAAGACATTCTCCCAACTCAGCCTCCAGAGTAGCTGGGATTACAGGTGCCTGTCACCACGCCCAGCTATTTTATTTTTTATTTATTTATTTATTTATTTATTTAGAGACGGAGTTTCGCTCTTGTTACCCAGGCTGGAGTGCAATGGCGCGATCTCGGCTCACCGCAACCTCCGCCTCCTGGGTTCAGGCAATTCTCCTGCCTCAGCCTCCTGAGTAGCTGGGATTACAGGCATGCGCCACCACGCCCAGCTAATTTTTTGTATTTTTAGTAGAGACAGGGTTTCACCATGTTGACCAGGATGGTCTCGATCTCTCGACCTCGTGATCCACCCGCCTCGGGCTCCCAAAGTGCTGGGATTACAAGCTTGAGCCACCGCGCCCGGCTCTATTTTTTTTTTTTTTTTTTTTTTTGAGATGGAGTTTTGCTCTGGGCTGGAGTGCAATGGCACGATCTCAGCTCACTGCAACCTCCACCTCCCAGGTTCACGTGATTCTCTTGCCTCAACTTCCTGAGTAGCTTGGACTACAGGCATGCACCACCACGCTTGGCTAATTTTTTTTATGTTTAGAATAGACGGAGTTTCAACATATTCATTAGGCTGGTCTTGGACTCCTAAACTCATGATCTGCCCACCTCAGCCTCCCAAAGTGCTGGGATTACAGGTGTGAGTCACCGCGCCCAGCCTAATTTTTGAATTTTTCATAGAGATAGGGTTTTACCATGTTGGCTAGGCTGGTCTCGAACCCCTGACCTCAGGTGATTCACCTGCCTCAGCTTCCCAAAGTGCTGGGATTACAGGACTTGCACCACTGTACCTGACCTTGCCCCTGCTTGAGTTTGTTTTGTTTTCTTTTGTTTTGAGACAGGCTGTCACCCAGCCTGGAGAGCAGTGGTGCAATCTCGGCTCACTGCAACCTACATCTCCTGGGTTCAAGCAATTCTCCTGACTCACCCTCCCAAGTAGCTGGGATTACAGATGTGCACCACCATACCTGGCTAATTTTTGCCTTTTTAATAGCGACAGGGTTTCTCCATGTTGGCCAGGCTGATCTTGAACTCCTGGCCTCATGTGATTTGCCTGCCTTGGCTTCCCAAAGTGTTGGGATTACAGGCGTGAGCCACCACATCCAGCGTTGCTTCTGCATTTTATGTTAATTTTTTTCCAACTCCTACCCAGGCTGCCTTTTTCACCATGCTAATTCCTGCTTCCTGGCTTCCAGGTAATGATATAACTTACTTTATTCAACAAATATTTGTTAGCCTCTACTGTGTGTCAGAAGCTATTGCAGACACCAGTATAAACAACATGGATAAGGTTTCTTGTCACAGAGCTGACATTCTGGATGGAAAGAAAGGCACTTAATTAGAAACCATCATATAAGTGTTGTGGTGAAAATAAAACCATGATGGTCTAGGAAGTTACATGGGGTGGCAACCTCAGAATGCCTTCACTGGCCACCCTGGGCCTGTGTCTCCTTTGTGCCCAGTGACACCTGTGACAGCTCTGCCCCACAAGGTGGGCTGTTGAGAAACATTAAGTTTATCCTGCTGCTGGCTCCGTCGTGGAGAATACCTTTTAGTTTGCAATTAATGGTAATTTATTTATTCCAAGCTGCCTACTTGGAATTTTTTGAATTATGAGTAAATACAGAACACCTGTTTATTAATAATAGTCACCTGCTAAGAGAGAATCACTATGTGGATCAGAATCTACTCAGGGCCTTCAGCCTGGAATGCTCTCAGCCCCTGAGGCTCTCAGCTCGGTAGGCTGCTGGCCCCCCGGATAGACCCACTTTGTTGTTCTATCTGGCTGTCTGCCTCTCATTACCTTCAGCACTGCCTGGGTTGGGGGACTCCTGGCTGAGCTGGTACTTGGTAGTGTGTCTCCATCAAGACTCAGGGCCACCTGAGGGCAGAGCCAGTGTTAGTTCACCACTGTTTCCAACCAGACACTCGGAATGTTTATGAGCTGCAGGAGGCTTAACAGCATTCAACTGGGTAAAAGGCACACCAGGAAAGGGAGTGTGGGGCCAGCCACTGGGCCAGGTCTTCATGGTGCAATCTCATTCCAGGTTTACAATAATGTCATGAAAGATATGCTATTATTATTTCATTATTATCATATTATTTTCCTGAGACACAGTTTCACTCTTGTTGCCCAGGCTGGAGTACAATGGCACGACGTTGGCTTACCATAACCTTCGCCTCCTAGGTTCAAGCAATTCTCCTGCTTCATCCTCCCAAGTAGCTGGGATTACAGGCATGTGTCACCACACCCTGCCAATTTTGTATTTTTTCAGTAGAAATGGGGTTTTGCCACATTGGTCAGGCTGGTTTTGAACTCCCGACCTCAGGCAATCTGCCCTTCTTGGCCTCCCAAAGTGCTGGAATTACAGGCAGAAGTCACCATGCCTGGGCTATTTCATTATTTTGAGACAGTGTCTTGCTCTGCTGCCTAAGCTGGAGTGCAGTATCATGACCACAGCTCACTGCAGCCTCGACCTCCCCGGCTCAAGTGACCTCTTGCCTTGGTAGTTGGGACTACAGGCATACACCACCATACCTGGCTAACTTTTTATTTTTTGTAGAGACAAGGTCCTGCTACGTTGCCCAGGCTGGTTTTGAACTCCTGGGCTCAAGCAATCCTCCCACCATGGCCTCCCAGAATGCTGGGATCACGGGCAAGAGCCACTGCGCCTGGCCTATTTCAGATTTTTACAAATGAGGAAATAGGCTTGAAGAGTCAGGGACTTGCTTGAGATCTTGAAGCTACAAGGCTGCCTTGCCAGGATTCCAGGGCGGGTCTGTCACCTCCAAAACCCATGCTTTTAGCCACCACACATGCTGCCGCAGAGATGGAGTTTCCAGAAGTTCCAGTTTTGACAGTGAGGTCAGTAACATCAAAGCCTGTAGTGATGGGGTGGCAAGAGACTGAGAAACTGGAGCTTTGAGAGGAAACCTCAGCCCATGGTTGGGGCAGTCTCACAGCAAGGTGGCAATGAACTCGGGGTGCCCTAGAAGGGGAGCTGTGTCTGAGCTTCCTCTGGAGGGATGTGTTCCCAGGCCCCAAGCTCATCCCTCTTCATCTCTCCCTCACCTTCCCCACTCTATTTTTATGGGTTTTGTTTTGGTTTTTTGACAGAGTCGTTCTGTAGCTCAGACTGGTATGCAGTGGTATGCAGTGGTACAATCTCAGTTCACTGCAAACTCTGCCTCCTGGGTTGAAATGATTATCCTCCCTCAGCCTCCTGAGTACCTGGGATTACAAGCATGCACCACCAGACCTGGCTAATTTTTGTATTTTTAGTAGAGACAGGGTTTCACCATGTTGGCCAGGCTGGTCTCAAAACTCCTGACCTCAAGTGATCTGCCTGCCTCAGCCTCCCGAACGAAGTACTGTGATTACGGGCGTAAGCCACTGTGCCTGGCCCACTTCTTAGCATTCTCAGCCCAACCCCACCCACAACCACCATGCCTCTGTTCTTGCCCTGCCCTGAGTCCTAGCCAACAGTCCATGCTTCTAAACTCCCTCCTGGTCCTAGGGGCACAGAGTTAAGAGGCCCAGGCCACAACTGGCTGCCACTGGGAGAAGGAAGGGGCAAGGACCTCCCTGCTCCCCTCCTGGGCTTGTTGGGCACTGGGAAACAAAGAAATAACTCCCAAATCAGTATAGTCAGGTGTAGGCAAGAGAAAAATGGCTTCCCTCCACCACTCTAGGTATTTGGCTGGACTATGAACTAAATTGACTTAACAGGTCAACAGGTGAAAACACAGTTTTACTTACATGCATACTATGATGGTTAATATTGTCAATTTGATTGGATTGAAGGATAGGAAGTATTGATTCTGGGTGTGCCTATGAGGGTGTTGCCAAGGGAGATTAACATTTGAGTCTGGGCTGGGAAAGGCAGACCCACCCTCAATCTGGGTGGGCACCATCTAATCACCTGCTAGTGGGGCTAGACTACAAAGCAGGCAGAAATATGTGAAAAGACAAGACTGGCCTAGTCTCCCGGCCTACATCTTTCTCTCATGCTGGATGCTTCCTGCCCTGAAACATCAAACTCTAGATTCTTCAGTTTTGGGACAGCTTGCAGGCAGCCTATCGTGGGACCTTGTGATGATGTAAGTTAATACTTAATAAACTCCCTTTTATAGATATAGATATAGATAGATAGATAGATAGATCCTATTAGTTCTGTCCCTCCAGAGAACCCTAATACACATACACAAGGGAGTACCACAAAACATGAAACTCAGCCGGACACTGTGGCTCACGCCTATAATCCCAGAACTTTGGGAGGCCGAGGCGGGCGGATCATGAGTTCAACAGATCGAGACTATTCTGGCCAACATGGTGAAATTCCGTCTCTATTAAAAATACAAAAAATTAGCTGGACATAGTGGTGCGTGCCTGTAGTGCCAGCTACTCAGGAAGCTGAGGCAGGAGAATCACTTGAACCTGGAAGGCGGGTGTTGAAGGCTGCAGTGAGCTGAGATTGCGCCACTGCACTCCAGCCTGTAAACAGAGTGAGAGTCTGTCTCCAAAAAAAAAAAAAAAAAAAGTGTCTGGAGCAGCCCTCTTCCTGATATACTCTTACTAATGTAAATTTGCATTATGGATGTAAATTTCCATTATGGATGTAAATTATAAAATAGCGACCTAAAAGGAAGACGCTGAAACAAAATTAACATAAGCAGAGAGCTTATTTGGGCCAAGTTTGATGATTATAACCTGGAAGCACAGAATCAACTTGTCCTGAATATATACTCTGATTAGCAGCAGTTGTAAATGGATTTTTAAAGGCAAAAAAGGAGCCCAGGTGCAGTGGCTCATGCCTGTAATCCCAGCACTTTGGGAGGCCGAGGTGGGCAGATCTTGAAGTCAGGAGTTCGAGACCAGCCCGGCCAGTATGGTGAAACCCTGTCTCTACTAAAAATACATAAATTACCTGTGTGTGGTGGTGTGCACCTGTGATCCCAGGTACTTGGCGGCTGAGGTAGCAGAATCGCTTTAACTCAAGAGGCGGAGGTTACAGTGAGCAGAGATCAAGACAGAATGAGGCTCTGTCTCAAAAAATAAATAAGCAAAGGCAAAAAAGGAGGACAGGGAGGCAGGAGGACCAGCCTGGGCAACAAAGTAAAACCCTTGTCTCTACAAAATAATAATAATAAGCCTGATGTGACATGCGAGTGCCTGTAGTCCCAGCTACTTGGGAGGCTGAGGTGGGGGGATTGCTTGAGCCTGGGAGATAGAGGTTGCAGTGAGCCAAAATCATGCCACTGCATGGGTGATAGAGTGAGACCCTGTCTCAAAAAAAAAAAAAAGAAATAATAATAATAAAATAACTTATAACCAAGATGGCAACAAAAGTGACCTCTGGTCATCCTCACTGCTCATTATACACTAATTATAATACATTAGCATGCTGAAAGACACTCCCATCAGCACCACGACAGTTTACAAATACCATGGCAACACCAGGAAGTTATCCTTTATCGTCTAAAGGGGAGAGGAGCCCTCAGTTCTGGGAAATCCCTGCCCCTTTCCTGGAAAACTCATGAATAATCCACCCTTATTTAGCATATGATCAAGAAATAACTCAAGTGTAGTCAGCGAGTAGCCCATGCTGCTGCTCTGCCTACAGAGTAACTTTTTTTTTTTTTTTTTTTTTGAGACGGAGTTTCGCTCTTGTTAACCCAGGCTGGAGTGCAATGGCACGATCTCGGCTCACCGCAACCTCCGCCTCCTGGGTTCAGGCAATTCTCCTGCCTCAGCCTCCTGAGTAGCTGGGATTACAGGCACACGCCACCATGTCCAGCTAATTTTTTGTATTTTTAGTAGAGACGGGGTTTCACCATGTTGACCAGGATGGTCTCGATCTCTTGACCTCGTGATCCACCCGCCTCGGCCTCCCAAAGTGCTGGGATTACAGGCTTGAGCCACCGCGCCCGGCCACTTTTTTTTTTTTTTTTTTGAGATGGAGTCTCACTCTGTCGGCCAGACTGGAGTGCAATAGTGCCATCTCGGCTCACTGCAAACTCCACCTCCTGGATTCAAGCAATTCTCCTGCCTCAGCCTCCCAAGTAGCTGGGACTACAGGCGCCCGCCGCCACGCCCAGCTTATTTTTTTTTGTATTTTACTAGAGATGGGGTTTCACCATCTTGCCCCGGCTGGTCTTAAACTCCTGACCTAGGGATCCACCTGCCTTGGCTTCCCAAAGTGCTGGGATTACAGGTGTGAGCCACTGCGACCGGCCGGAGTAACCATTCTTTATTCCTTTAATTTAAAAAAATTTTTTTTAAATTTATTTATTAAAAAGGGCTTCTGGCCGGGCGCGGTGGCTCACGCCTGTAATCTCAGCACTTTGGGAGGCCGAGGCGGGTGGATCACAAGGTCAACAGATCAAGACCATCCTGGTCAATGTGGTGAAACCCCGTCTCTCCTAAAAATACAAAAAATTAGCTGGGCATGGTGGCGCGTGCCTGTAGTCCCAGCTACTCAGGAGGCTGAGGCAGGAGAATTGCCTGAACCCAGGAGGCGGAGGTTGCGGTGAGCCGAGATCGCGCCATTGCACTCCAGCCTGGGTTACAAGAGCGAAACTCCGTCTCAAAAAAAAAAAAAAAAAAAAAAAAAAAAAAAAAAGGGCTTCTGTCGTAAGTGGTACATGCAGGGCAACTTGATTGCTTTTCATGCAGAATGGACATCAAGAGATTTTGGAAGCATAATTTTTGGTACTTGGGCAGCTGGTGATCGTTGGTCCTGGTGCCCAAAGGAAAAAAAAAAAAAGCCAGGTGCAGTGGCTCATGACTAATCCCAGCACTTTGGGAGGCCGAGGCAGGTGGATCATCCAAGGTCGGGAGTTCGAGACCAGCTTGACCAACATAGAGAAACCCCGACTGTACTAAAAATACAAAAATTAGCCAGGCGTGGTGGCACATGCCTGTAATCCCAGCTACTCGGGAGGCTGAGGCAGGAGAATCGCTTCAACCCAGGAGGCAGTTTGCAGTGAGCTGAGATCGTGCCATTGCACTGCAGCCTGGGCAACCAGAGTGAAGAAAATCTGTCTCAAAAAAAAAAAAAAAAAAAAAAAAAAAATTCAAAAGGTTGGCTTTTCAGAGCTACTCCTATGTCTGTAGTTTCTCAGAATCACCAGCTCAAAATATGCCAAAGTAGTATATTTTGGGCTGGGATACTCTGGTCTCCTACAGTCGCATTTTGGGGTGGTGTGTCCTGAGCCCCAGCACAGGCAAGGGGCCTGGAGAGACTCTAGGAGGTGATGGGGACTTTCTGGCGCTAGGGAACTGAACTTTTTGTTTGTGCTCTGTTCCAGGGCGTTCCTCAGGTCCCTGTGATGCGTATCTCTCAGAATCCCCATCAGAGTGGAGGAAAGAGAGGCTAGCAAGCAGGTACCATATTGCAGTCGAGTCTGTTAGTGCCAGGCAGGGCTTGCATCTAGGTCTGTCTATTGGCTTAATACCAAGGTCTCTGCTCTTTCCCCATCCCTCCCAGCAACCAACCTTTCCTAAAATTTAGGCACAGTCCTTCAACAAGAGAGCAGTGAGACTGTGTGGTGCATTGATACAATGAGATGTGACGGAGCAGCAGAAAAAGAACAAACTCCAGCTCCGGCATGGATAGATCCCACAGACAATGTTGAGGGCAGAGGCCAGACCTGAAGGGGCACAGACCGCGTGGTTCTATTTATACAAAGCCCAACAGCAAGCTGGTCTGAGCCATGAGGTAGGGACCCCAGGGGGACAGGGAAGACGGGAGCCACGAAGAGGCATGATTGGCTTCTGGGTACTGGTCATTCTGTTCACTTAGTGATGAGTCCATCATGAGTGGTAGGATTTTCATGACTGTGCACTTTTCTGTGTGTCTGTTACATTTCAATTAAAAACTTAAAAAAAATTGACTGGGTGCGGTGGCTCAAGCCTGTAATCCCAGCACTTTGGGAGGCCGAGGCGGGTGGATCACGAGGTCAAGAGATCGAGACCATCCTGGTCAACATGGTGAAACCCCGTCTCTACTAAAAATACAAAAAATTAGCTGGGCATGGTGGCGCGTGCCTGTAATCCCAGCTGCTCAGGAGGCTGACGAAGGAGAATTGCCTGAACCCAGGAGGCGGAGGTTGCGGTGAGCCGAGATCGCGCCATTGCACTCCAGCCTGGGTAACAAGAGCGAAACCCCGTCTCAAAAAAAAAAAAAAAAAAAAAAAAAAAAAATTTGACAAGAGGTTGGACTCAGTGGCTCACACCTGTAATCCCAGCACTTTGGGAGGCTGAGGCTCTGATCACAAGGTCAGGAGTTCAAGACCAGCCTGGCCAACATAGTGAAGCCCCGTCTCTACTAAAAACAAAAATTAGCTGGGCATGTTGGCGCATGCCTGTAGTCCCAGCTACTCGGGAGGCTGAGGCAGGAGAATCACTTGAACCTGGGAGGTGGAGGTTGTGGTGAGCTGAGATTGCACCACTGCACTTCAGCCCGAGCAACAGTGTGAAACTCTGTCTCAATAAATAAATAAACAAATAAACAAACAAGAGAGGCCAGGTACAGTGGCTCACACCTGTAATCCCAACACTTTGGAAGGCCCAAGTGGGAAGATCATTTGAGATCAGGAGTTCGAGACCAGCCCAGGCAACATAGTGAGACCCCGTCTTTACTAAAAACAAAAAATTAGCCGGGCATGGTGGCGTGCACCTGTAGTCCTAGCTACTCAGAAGGCTAAGGCAGGAAGATTGCTTGAGCCCAGGAGGTTGAGGCTGCAGTGAGCTATCATTGTACCACTGCATTCCAGCCTGGGTGACAGAGAGAGACCCCATCTCAAAAAAATGAATAAGGCCAGGTACAGTGGCTCACGCCTGTAATCTCAGCACTTTGGGAGGCAGAGGCAGGAAGATGACCTGAGATCATGAGTTCGAGACCACCTGGCCAACATGGTGAAACCCTGTCTCTACTACAAATACAAAAATTAGCTGGGCGTGGTGGCACACACCTGTAGTCCCAGGTACTCGGGAGGCTGAGGCAGAACAATCGCTTGAACCTGGGAGGCAGAGGTTGCAGTGAGCCGAGATCATATCACTGCACGCCAGCCTGAGTGACAAAATGAGACTCCATCTCTAAATAAATAAAATAATAAAATAAGCAAGGAGAAGGGGGGTTTTGTTGGTCCAATGAGCGAGATGTGTCCCATGTGGTAACAGACTCTGTGACAGGGATCTTCTACAGGACAGGGACCCAATCTATTACCCTGGACAGCTGCTGTGCTGCCTGCAAGGACTGGGAGCTTAGTTCCCCGACCTGGGACTGCCCCCACAGAATGCTTGCTAGGGAGTCTCTCCATACCAAGGGGTGAGATCCATGTCTCTTGAGCCCTTGGTCTCTCTGATCCCAGGGCTCAACCTGCTTCCTCCCAAGTGGGGCACTAGGGATAGATCCCAAGCCTTGGGGATGGGTAGGGGAGCTGGTTCAGGCCTCCAGTCACTGATTGTCACACCAGGTGCCCCATCCTAGAGCCGGCCCCCAGATCTACTGTTTACACATGGGCTAGGCAAACACTAGATCTCCCCACCCAAGGCCTGCCCTCTCTCCATGAAAGGCTCTGGCCCAGCAACTGCTCTGGTCTAAATATGGAGCTTCGAGGCCCAGGGAGGGTGCTGCACCCCAATCCTGCGGAGCCAGCAGGTAGAAATCCCTCAGCTTCCCCTCCCCTGCACACCTTCTAGAGCTTGCCACCTCCCAAAGCATCTGAGCTGGAGTTGGTAAGAACCTGAGTTTTGGCTGGCGCAGTGGTTCACGACAGTAATCCCATCACTTTGGAAGGCCAAGGCGGGCGGATCACCTGAGGTCAGGAGTTCAAGACCAGGCTGACTAACATGGTCTCTACTAAAAAATACAAAAATTAGCCAGACGTGGTGGCGGGTGCCTGTAATCCCAGCTATTCGGGAGGCTGAGGCAAGAGAATTGATCGCTTGAACACAGGAGGCGGAGGTTGCAGTAAGCCAAGATTGCACCACTGCACTCCAGCCTGGGTTACAGAGCGAGATTCCATCTCAAAAACAAAAACAGAGTTTTGGGTCTCCAGTTTCTCCACCTGGCCTGGTCTCTCCTCCTGGCACGTCAGGTCGGTACCAGGCTCCGAGCCCTGGGGCTGGCCAGAGGGAGGGCTTCCGGATGAGGGTTCGACGGAGCCAGGCGGAGGGCAGCTAGGGCCTCTCCATCTGCCTGTGGGGGAATGACTCTTGGGGTGAGAGCACCAGCAGGAGACTCTAGTGAAGACACAGGAAGGGCCCAGTGCCCAGAGGAGGAGGGTGAACAAGGGGCTTGAGGGAGGAGGTACAGGCCTACACTGGTGTGCTGGGTGACGTTGAGGATATGCCTTTCCCTGAGTGAGCCGTAGCTTCCCCATCTGCAAAATGGGGGTGCTAATGCAAAGTCCAGCAGGAGAAGGTGGAGGGAGAAGTATCCTCATTGGAAGAGCTGCTTTGGGAAACCTAAGCAGGTAATGATGAAGGGAGGGGGCAGGACAGAAATAAGGGTTCCTGAAGGGTGTTTGCTCTTCCTGTGGCACAGCTGTTGCTAGGCGTCCAGGGAGCAGGCCCAGACACAGCTGTCGGGGGTGGGGTTGAGGGTGGAGGATTGTGCTCTAGGCAGGCACAGCTGTCCTGGCTGGGGGCCCCAGGGGTCTGGCAGCCTCGAGAGGGAATGGTGCAAGCTGAGGGCTGGGTTAACCCCTTCAGGATCGGAGCCCACAGACAGCAGCCTTGTGTAATGAGGGCAAGATCACTGCATTTGCACCAGGTGGAGGGGGACCGTAGCTCCAGCTTGGTGAAGACCAGCTTCTCAGGCCTTGTTTCCCTTCATCATGGGCTGGCCCCCATCCTCGCCCCTACCTGGCTGTAGAGCGCATCCAGGCCCTCTGCCTTCTGCGCACAGGCCTTCTGCCTGCTGCCCACAGCTCCAATACCCATGGGCCTTTTTTTTTTTTTTCTGAGGCGGAGTTTCGCTCTTGTTACCCAGGCTGGAGTGCAATGGCGCGATCTCGGCTCACCGCAACCTCCGCCTCCTGGGTTCAGGCAATTCTCCTGCCTCAGCCTCCTGAGTAGCTGGGATTACAGGCACATGCCACCATGCCCAGCTAGTTTTTTGTATTTTTAGTAGAGACGGGGTTTCACCATGTTGACCAGGATGGTCTCGATCTCTCGACCTCGTGATCCACCCTCCTCGGCCTCCCAAAGTGCTGGGATTACAGGCTTGAGCCACCATGCCTGGCCTTTTTTTTTTTTTTTGAGACGGAGTTTTGCTCCTGTGGCCCACGCTGGAGTGCAGTGGCATGATAGCTCACGGAAACCTCCACCTCTCGGGTTCAAGCGATTCTCCTGGCCCAGCCTCCTGAGTAGCAGGGATTACAGGCATGCACCATCACACCTGGCTAATTTTTTTTCTTTTTTTTTTTTTTTTTTTTTTTTTTTGTAGAGACAGGGTTTCTCCATGTTGGTAACGTTGATCTTGAATTGACCTCAGGCGATTTGCCTGCCTCGGCCTCCCAAAGCGCTAGGATTACAGGCATGAGCCCCCGGGCTAGCCCAACCCAGGGGCCTCTCTTGCCTCTAGACACCTGATCAGCTTAAGGTGGGTCCCCACTCCTTTTCATTATTCCTGGACACCAGTCTCACTGCTGGGGCCCTCAGAGGGCCCTAACCTGAACTCCTCATCCCTTGACCCCTGGAGCCGCATACCCCACCTTCCCCATTCCATGTATCCAACATTC